GTGTAAAAAAATTGTTTTTTACTAATGTTTTTACTAAATAAAAGTTTTCCCTACAATGTAATAAACTAAACCAAAAAACAACATAAATAGAATGAAAAGTGATTATTTTAATTCCTAAGAATTTCCTCCATAGTATAAATATACTTTAATTTAAGGTTAAAATTTTCTCTTTTTTTTAAGGAATTGTAAACATTCTTAGCAGGTTAGCAAGTATTGAACTGTCTGTTTTTTGGTCCTTTCCATGTTTGTTTTTGAAGTAAAAGACAATTTACAGGGCTGATTTGCATGCAGGCTGTTTTCTGAGCAGCCCCAGTCTTTTTAAAAGTAGACATGAAGTCTGCTGCGTTTGGATATAAACATTAATGGGAGTGAGATTGAGTTGTTATCTAGCAGCTGGGAAGGTTTTTTTTTTTACATTGTTGCCACTCAGGGAATCAGTGGAGCCTCTTTCAGGACGTGACTAGTGGCACTTTCCACCAATTACTTGTTTCATTTTTTTTATCTTATTAAATGGTGACTGGACGAGATTATGGGTTCCCCTGATAATCTTTGCTGTAAAAGAAATCCCCAGGCTTATGTAATGGGTCTGTTTTTTTTTTTTTTTTAGGACCATCAGAGATATTGTGGCTAAATTTAAACACAATTACCACTGATAACACGGCGCTTTGATAAGCTTTTTAGCTCTACTAACGCTGTGAAACCACAAATGCTCTTTTCCCAGGATTCACCGCTTTGTGGTCAAACACTAATAAAAAAAACATCTACACAATAATTCATCATACTTTATAAATAAATATTTATATAATTAATCGAATATTAGGAACTATTTCTGCAGGTCAGATCCCAGTAGACTACTACTAGATTCAGCCCTCAACTTTTCCACATGCTTTGCCAATAACATATCTCCTCTTTTCAGCTTGTTTTTCCCCTTAGTCATTGTTTATAAGTTCCACTGACCAAAGGTAATCGCTGCTTTAGAGCAAATAATATTAACAGCTCCTGGCTGAAAACTCAGGAACTGAACCTTGGCTGCTTGCCTCACAGCTTGTGTAACCCTTTGATGTCATATATCCTGTTCACCTCATACGCATCCTACACTCCCCTGAACTTTCAAGAGACAACTCTTTCTTTTGCAGGTTTGGCCTGCATATGTGCTACATATTACTAATCTAAACTGCTGTTTTCATTTAAAGCCTTACTTATTGTAGCATAGATCATATACACGTTAAATTGATATTTATGTAAATTTTTGCAATCCCTTCAAATCATCCGTCCATTTTTTTCACTTTCTCCAGCTTTCTTTCTGTCCATCTGACCTTCCTAGTTAGCCTAGTTATTACTTTAATAGGGTGTTCCATTTGTCTGCCCCCTTTACCCTTGTAGCTTCGCCTTGTCTGTTCCTGTTTGGCTGTGACTCCATCCTGGAGAGAAATATCTGTGCTGCTGCCATTAACATCTTTGTTATAGATGTCCAAGATTGGAATGTTTTCAGTGTAGTCCTGTTTCTCTGACTGTGACTGGCTGGATGTGCTCTCTTCATCCTCTGGCATGGGAGTTGGCTCAGAGCTCGTCGGCCTGGCTGTGTTTCCTGGACGGGGCCGCCTTTTACAGCTGCTTTTTCTGTCTGCTTCTGTCTCCTTGAACCCCAGTCGCCCTCAGCAGATGGCCGCTCACACTGAGCCTGGTTCTGCTGGAGGTTCCTTCCTGTTAGGACAGAGTTTTTCCTCTCCACTGTCGCTAAAAGCATGCTTAGTGTGAGGGATTGCATTCAAGTGAATGAGTCGATGCAATCAACTGGTTTTCCTAAGATAGAAAACTTTGAATCAATTTGATTGTATGATCTGGTTGAACTGTAAAGTGCCTTGAGATGACATGTGTTGTGAATTGGCGCTATAGAAATAAACTGAAATGAATTGAATTGCGACACGTAAATAAAATCCAGGTCCTTCCTATTTAGTAAACACGGTCCATGTGTCCTGCTCCTTATTGCTCACAGCGGCTTTGAAGCCCGACTGGAGCTCCGAAAGTAAACTTCAGACACAACGGCTTCCGTCCTGCAATTATTTGATTATTGTTTACTCAGGAGCTGGAAACAAATGAGGGGTCATCTTAGCCGCTGCAAAAAAAGTCACCAAGGCTTCATTAAACAACAGAGGCAGGAAACATGATGATTATTTTTATCTTTGGTCTTCAATGCTCTAGCAGCAGGTAGTAGTTAACTGACAGAAACGTGACCTTTTATAAATGCCACAATTTTCTGCATTGTTCATCTAAAATTTTCAGCAGCTCATCCAATTAAATTACTTAAACCTTTTTAATGTCTTGTGCGGATTTATGATGGTTGTATTTCGTGCTTTAGGAATTCAGGAGTACGTGGAAGCGGTGTCCTTCCTGCACTACATCCGTCATCGCAGCCTTATCAGCCTGGAGGAAATCAATGCAAGGCTCGTCTTCATGAGAACGGAGAACGGCGATCCTAAGGTGCGTTTGTCAGCAACATGGCCAAACACTGGCGGTGCCATCAGTTGGCAGTAGGTGAGTTATTGACCGATGATGGAGCTGGGGTTCCATCCAGTGATCCTGCAGTTGCAGGATGAACTCCTTGGCAACTATATTCATTTCCTCAGACAAGGCACTTCAAATAAAATCATACTAAGTCCAATTTATACAATTTTATCTGTTCTTTTTATTTCAAGTAGGATAAAAGTTAGTGTTTTGAAACTTCATATCATTTAAAATTCTTCATGTTACATCATGTTAAAACCACAAACTTCAGTGTAATCTGTTGGAATTTTATGTTCCATATCAACGTAATCTAGAGGGCGTATTTATGAAGAGGAAATGAAGTATGTAGCTTTGAAAACTTATTAAAAATGAAAACCGTTGCTTCAATTTCAGCTCAGCTTTTTTGGGTGATGTCGGTTATTTATTTTTTCCATTCTTAATGGCAAAATATCTCAAGGTCCATATGATTAAATGGAGTGTGTATGAGTGTGGACTTTGACTGGACCACACAAAAAGTCAATAGTCTAGCACAGGGGTCGGCAACCCGCGGCTCCGGAGCCGCATGCGGCTCTTTAGCGTTCCCCTTGCGGCTCCCTGGAGCTTTTTCAAAAATGTCTGAAAATCGAGTTTTTTTTTGTTTTTTTGTTTTTTTTAATATGGTGTGCAGGAGATCAAACAAAAAATAATTATGTTTTCCAATGCTGTAAACATTTGTATAATAAATACATTTAAACAATAATTTGCGTCATAGCCATAGAGGTCAGTGGTCATAACTTGCAACCAGCGCTGCGCGGTGCCAGGCTGCTGGAGTGTCTCGGACCATGGATCCCAAAGAGGAAAAAAGGAAGATAGCTGATGAGAAAAGAGGATTCAAAGGAAGGACCGAATCATTTTCTTTCAATATCAATGCGGAACGATTCCCTGCATTTTTGCTTGGTAATGAGAGGTTGGCAAAAAATAAAAATAAAAATTTGGAAAGGCACTTCCAGGGAAGGCAAGCTAAATATGCAGCCGATCACCAAGCTGGAAGGGAGAGGAAAATGGTGATTGCAGAACTTCTGGATAAATTAGTTGAGAGAGCAAATGTAGATTTAAGAAGTGGATTACATCTCCAAACTCCACTACTGCTGCTAGTTTTGTTGCAAGAATGGAAAACCGTCCACAGATCGAACAGGTAGAGCTCTGATGCAGGGATGGGAACTTTCTTCCATTTTTTCCCCAAAAATCCTAAAACTATAAATCCCACCAAGGAACGCTGGGATGGGGGATTTCAGGGTTAAAGAGCTCTGCTCTGATGGATGTCAGTTCCTGCTTGGTTCTTCATGACTCAATCAACTCCTCCCAACAAAAACACGTCCACCATAGAAAGATTCCTTGATCCTGTTTCTATAATTTCATCAATGCAACAAAACTTAAACCGCGCGGTGAAGGGCGGTTAAGCAGCGCGTGATGGGAGCGTTCACTGCTCCTCCCTCACCTCATGCTGCTATGTGACATTTGCTCCAGGATAAAGATTTAATCATGAATGCTTATTATATATTTAAGCTCACATAGTCATTTTCTATAGTGGGATAATACACTTAGAGCCCGCGTTTCCATACGAGGCATGTATAAGACTTTTACATTTTTGCGGCTCTAGACAGATTTATTTTTTGTTTTTTTGGTCCAATATGGCTCTTTGAGCAGTTTGGGTGGCCGACCCCTGCTCTAGCAACCTTAGACAGTTGTCATATATATCTACATTCATTTACCTGAGATATTTTAAAATTAGGATTTTGTTATTTTAAGGTAACTGCCCTTTAAAATCTTTCTCCCAAATTGTCTTCTGTTTTTTTTCCTTCTTAATGAACCTTTACGTTAGGACATCACATGACTACTGAGTTATTTTCTTTTTAAGTTTAAGAAGTAAATAGTCTTGATGAAACATTTCATATGATTTTTGATTATTTTATTTCCTTTCAGGCCTCGGCTGAAGCCCCTCCTTTGGGCGCTCACGTTCTGACATTCCAGGTGACGCCGGCCGACTACCTGTTGGGCGTCGCCGACCTGACAGGGGAGCTTATGCGGCTGTGCATCGGCAGTGTCGGAAACGGCGACATAGACACGCCGTTCCAGCTCAGCCAGTTCCTGAGGCAGATCCACGACGGCTTCTCCTACATCGGGAACACGGGCCCGTACGAGGTCTCTAAGAAGCTCCACACGCTCCGACAGAGCCTGGGTAAAGTGGAGGACGCCTGCTACACGCTGCGCGTCCGCGGCTCCGAGATCCCCAAACACATGTTGGCCGACGTGTTCAGCAGCAGGACCACCCACATGGACACTGAGGAGGGAGTCGTTTAGTTAAACACCCTTCATAACCTTTGTTGTGTCCTTTTTCATTTAATGGGTTGACAGCTGTTCATGTAATATGCTTGTAAATTTATAGCAACTGTTAGGAAAAGAAATCTGTTTTATTTGTTGAGATGTTGAATATTACTGCTGTTCTGCATTAATAAAAGTTATGTTGTCCTCTCTCACCAACTTGCAGCTAATTTTGTTTTTTTTTTTCCCTATTGTCTTTATCCATAACGCCTCAAGTTAGATCGTTATCTCCATTACCTCATAACACTGTGGAAGAGCAAAAGAATCCTATAAAGAAGGTTTATTTCTGCAGTTCATCTGATGGTAAAAATATAACTTCTGAGTCTATAGAAAATTGCACCTTCCCTGCATCTGGACCATGGTCCTAATAGGAAAAATTATACTGTCTAAATAAATGTGATTTTTTTTGGGTTTTTTTTTTATTAATTAAGTTATTAAAAAAATTTAAACAAAAAGGCTTTATGAATGAAGGAAAACTGGAATTACTGCATTACAGTTAATTTGCTGTATTCTTTTATAAAGAATCATCAAAGAGCATCCCACTATGAGCCTATTGAGACCATTGCTTATCTTGCTGCATCTGCTGCCTGATAAACGCTGTTAATATGCTGATGTCTGTTTGTTGAACGCTACTTTTAATACAGGTCTGTATTTTCCACAAAATATATATTATACCTTGAAATTAAGATCTATTTAAAAGCTTCTGGGCTGTTACGTGTTTATTAATCTACTTATACACAATAATGCTGACATGCACTGGCCACTAATAATAGAGACAAACGACATTATACTAACACACCTGGACAAAACTGTCGGTACGCCTCGTTTAATGAAAGAAAAACCAACAATGGTCACAAAATAATGAATCTGACGAAAAAAATATAAATCAATAAAAATAAAACTCAGATATTGCTTTTTTCTTCTTTTTTTTGGGTCTTAAAATAAAGACATTGCTTTTCAACCATTTTTCAATAGAAAAAAATCTCAAAACGGGTCTGAGCAAAAATGATGGTACCCCCCCCAAAAGAGGCTGAAAATAATGTGACCAAAGAGGCATTTTAAATTAAGGTTCTTCCACTAATCAGCATCACAGTTGTTGACAATCTTGCAATCAGTCAGTGGTCCTATATAGGACCAAAGATCCTGAGTTATTTGATAACATGGTGTGTATCACACCCAGCATGGACCAGCGGAAGCAAAGAAAGGAGATGTCTCAGGAGATTAGAAATAAAATTATAGACAAGCATGATAAAGGTACAGTTTATGAGAGCACCTCAAATCAACGTGATGTTCAAATATTATAAATTTATATTATAAATATCATAAACTATATTATAAATCCCTCGCACCCAAGCCACAAACTATTTCAGTCACTTCTCTCTGGTAGGAGGCTGCAGTCCATCAGTCCATCCTCATGCCTGATGCCAATTAGCCAATGAGCTGCTGTCAGTCTGGGTTGCTGCTGCTGCTACTTTTAGACACAGCAGGCAAACCTTTGGCAGGCCTGGCGATGGGAAAGAAGGAGAAGACGACGAGAAAAAGAGAGCAGAGAAAGTGTGGACTGCTGGAAGAACTGCGGTGAACCATTAACAATCAAAAATAGATGTGGATCCAGGCTCAAAATGAGCACCTTGATATGTGCTTGAGAATGGCTTTGTCTCCATTCAAACCCAGGTTTAAAGCCCACTGCTCTCATTAAGCCATAACAAATAAATACAAATAAATGGTCAGTTCAGGTGTTTTATAAAATATGTGAATTAGGAAACTGTCTATATACCAAACTGAAAGATTGTTCTCTATTTAAAAAAAACAAAAAACACTTTAGATTTTAAAATGGAAAAATGTTGTTTTTTTTTTATAAAGAAGAGGAAAATAAATAATGAAGTATAGATATCTAAAAAATGTACTTAAGTACAGTAACAACGTATTTGTACTTCGTTACTTGACACCTCTGCAAACATGGATGTCTCCAGTAAAGCACATTCTAATGAAAATTTATCTTTCAGAAGTTTAAATTGTGAATATGACCGAACTTTTCGATTAACAGATAAAAAGAAGGAATATAAAAAGAGATATCCTGTTCAAAATATGAATAACAAGATTTTTTTCTTAAAAAGCTGTTGAAATATCCAAAAGAAGACAGAAAATGTTATTTTTGTCTCCGGACCTTTACTGGTTGATTTTCAGTCAAATTCCTTGTAAGTACAAACCTACCTGGCAATCAATCTGCTGATTCTAATAAATGTTGGAGTTGGAATTATCATACATTTGCATCTAAGACTAAAACCTCTACTGCCATCTTGTGGCAACAATCAATAACAGCACCATGACGCCACAATAGACATACATTCATGACACCTTTAAAAGCACCACAAACTAATTATTAGATCTTTGATTTCTGGCATAAAACACCACAGTCAAACATAATGTTAAAAAAAAAATATGTTTAATCAATACAGTAATGGAAACTGTGTTCTATAGAATAGAAGGTTTATTGAAGCAAAACGCCCTGTGGTCATGAGTTTTCTGCCCTCATTAGGTCCTTAGCTTGTTAATGTTGACCTGGTGATCTCATCCACATGCAAACTGATAAAAGAGAGGCTCCATCCTTCACTATGTGCAGCACTTCAGTCAGTGCTGAACTGAGCCCCTTTTATCTGCAGGAGGCTGTTGTCCATCAGCCAGCAAGGCTGAATGAAAAGACCCTTTAGAAGTGTGGGAAATAAGATGAACCGATTGAAGTTTCGCTGGTTTTCTCATGGTTTCCCTTTAAGCCATGAAAACAATGAAATATCCGAGGATCCAGTGAAGATCAACACTGGTTATTCTCCTGGAAAAGGGTCGTTTTTTTTTGGATATTAGGACAATTTAGGGTAATATTGCGCAACGCGGTTAGTTTGAAACGCTTAGGAAAACATTAAGATCCTACAAAGCATGCAATAATGAGTCCTATGTAGTTGGCTCCCTCTCTAAGAAAAGCACCAAAGAGTCGCAGGATTGTGTCTGCTGTAGATCTGAAGGAGTCAAATTCCTGAACACGTAGGAGCTGCAGCAGGACGCATGACGCATGACGCAGGGCGCAGCAGCGGCCGACTAACGGATTACTGATCGATCATCGACCTGACCAGACAACCTAGATCTCCTTCCGCAGCCTTTACTCCATAACGGATATATCTCTTTATTTCCCAGCTTTGCTTTATTTGCAGAAACATGACAAAAGGAGCAGCTTTTCTTTTCCGCCTGTGGAAGCGCGACTGAACTTTTTTTTGTGTTTGACGCACAGAGGAGGAAAAAGTAAGAATCTAATCAACTTGAATTTAGAGAAAAAGAACAAAAACAAAGTGGTTTTAGTGTTGAATAAAGCGTTTGGAAAATTAAACACACGATAATTATAACAATTAACAACAACAACAAAAAAAGTGTTTAGTTTCCAGAGCGGAAATGAGATCAGTCCATATGTTTGGCTCCAGTTTTTCTAAAACATGGTGGATGTTTGATTCCTGGTGTATCTGACTTTTCCATGACTTCTGAACATTTTAAATATTTTGATTTTTAACATGATTAAAGGAAAAATGTTTGCCGGGCTGATGGGACTGGACTGTCACCTGAACTCACTGCAACACCGGTGCGAAGGAGCTGAAGGTAAGGCACATTTTAACCAGGCTATAAACTGATAAACATTTTTTTTTATCAACATTAATTTGGTTTTAAAATGACTTATAGAAAAGTTTAACTACAAGTATAACAAAGTGCTATAAAAAAAAGATGTACTATTTACTTAACCCTTTATAGGCCACTCAGGGAAAGACTTTAAACATCTAAATTTCAAGCAAAGAGTGCACTGCAAAAAAATGAAATCTAAGTAAGTCAATTTTTCTGAAAATAAGTGCATTTTGTCTAGAATTGAATAAGAACATTTACATTTAAAATAAGGAAAAAAAATGCAGTCTCCTGTTTGAAGCGCATAATATCAAATAAACTGATTTTAAGGATAAACATGCTCCTTCTACTGGGAGATTTTCTTATTTACCTACTCAAATTAAGGGTAAATACACTTATTTTAAGACATTTTTACAAATTTATAGATCATTGTTGTATTGTGTTATTGGAATCCAGGAAAATACCTTCGTAACGTTAAAAAATATGGATATTTTGATGGCATAAATTACAAAAAACGCCAACTTGCCCACATATATTAAGAAAAATAAGTGCTTCTATAAGAAATTCATGAAAAACCCTGATGATGAAAGAAACACATTTTTTTTCTCAGTACAACATAACCTTAGAGGCTTATAAACCTTTTAACTTTACTTTTTAACTTTTCAGTTCACTTTTTTTTTCTTGAATTGTTAACTTTTTTTCATCTTAATTTACAGAAGGTAATGTATCATTTAAGGGCTCATCTAATTGGTCAAATGCCAAAATAAGATGTACCGCCATGTAGCAGCATCTTTGCTGAATGGATGGATATAGATGTTGTGCTTCTAGACCTCAATGACGGACGGGGGGGAACTTAATTTCTAAGGGGTATGCAAGTGATAAAAATGGTAACTTGCCCTATAAAGGGTTAAATCTCCAATCCACTCAGTATGTGTAGTTATCAATGAGTGGATAGGGCTTACTTTCATCCAAGTTCATGTAAACAGAGAAGGAACAGCATCCTTAGTCCCAAAGGTGAGGGGATAGAGACTAAGCCAAACCTGATGAGACTAAAGAATAACAACAGGAAGCTGAGGGAAGCTGTAGAATAAATGTTGACAACCAAAGAGAGTCTGTTATTGAATCAGCAAATTATAGATGATAAATGATAGATAAGATTTTTCATATCACATTAATGACATCACACATTAAAACGGGTGCATGCCTGTATTTTTATAAGTCTATCCCAACAATGTCTTTACTGGTCTTTGTAAATAAATAATAATGATAATAATCAGGCAGCTGTAGCTATTCCAAGATGCTTTTGCCAACGTCTAGACCAGAGGTCTTCAACAGGGGGTCCGCGACCCCTAAGGGGTCCGCAGAGGTACTGCATCGGGGTCGTGAAAGTTTTGATGATTACAGTTTTTTTTGTATATTCCCCACTGCAATTTTTTCCACTAATTGAAATGTCTTTAAATCCACATTAACATGAATTTAACACACTGTAGTAAACAGATAAATGGAGGCAGAAGATGGCTTTCAGTCATCAATGCACACATTCAGCGACACTCAGGAGCTCTTTCAAGCTGGGCACCGTTTCATTCATAACACCTGTCCCATCGACCAGGAATCAGAATCAGAAATGCTTTAATAATCCCAGGGTGAAATTTATTTCATTACATTAGTCCATCTGTTATAGAGTGACTATTGGACCAGTTTTATATAACACAATTTCATACAATATATATAATTTTGGGGTCCCCGCTCCATCTTGCCATCAGTTTGGGGGTCCTTTGCCTGGAAAACATTAAAGACCCCTGGTCTGGACCAGGGGTCTTTAAAAGTGGCTTTAAAAGTGTTTTACGTAATTGGGGATCCAGAATTGATTTTTGGGTTTCTTGTAAAGTTTGAAAGGTGTAGCCTCTTTTAAGACTTCAGATTCCTGCAAACTCAGTTTTCCCACGGTCAGACCTACAACAGCTGAGAAAACACTGAGTTTCTTTGCTCCTTAGCCTTGAAACAAACTTCCTGGAAACCTGAGATGTGCAGAAACTATCGACTCCGTAAAATCAAGACTGCAAACATTGTTTTATTTTATTGCAGCTTTGATTAATCTGACTAATGACCTGTTTGAAACTTTTTTTCATGACTTACAAACCTTTATGTTCTATAGAGCACTTTAGATTGCCGCTTTAATGAATAATTCTATAAGTAAACTTGGCAGTTTTTAATGATAATATATACTCTCTATCTATCCTTCTATCCTAGTATCCTTACCCCAAGTGAGGAGTTGTACAGCTTGATGTTCCCCAAGCCATCACACTGTACAACTCCTCACTTGGGGGAAGGAGGAGGTGATAGGAGGAGGGACAGGGGTCAGCACCCCCCTCCTTGGACATCTTATGCAAAACATTACCTATTGTCACTCGTGCAATATTCTTCTCTCTCACTGTGCAATAACACATGCCAGCTACTGTCTAGCCTATGTAATTTTTTAACTTATTTATAAGGTCCATACATTTGTGCACTAATCCAAGTCAACTACTATGTAGTCTTCCCTTAGTTCTCAACTGTGCAGATATTTTTATATCTAAAGGAAACATACGTCAAGACATTAAAACCTTTTTTCCTTTTTTTAATGCTTTTTTGGCACTATATACAATCTCTTTTTATATAAATTGTCACATCTATATCTTTAATGGCATCTTGCTTTAACTCTTTGTACCCTAAATAAGCTACTGGAATCAGAATTTCCCTGAAAGAGTAATACCAAGGGATAGATAAAGTAGATTCTAAGTCTCTAGATCAACCTGGTCCTTTGCAAATGGCATGAGTATCTTTCTGCACTTTCTAAGAATTTTCAAAGCAGCCATATTGGAAGGTTATGCTCATCAATGTTCTGTTCATTGTTTGATCTTTTTTTTTTTACAGCGCACTTGAGCTTAAGGTAACAAATTGATGCTTTTAACTCTTTCTTTTGCCCTCTATTTTGTAAGGCTGGATTTTTCCCCCAGTTTTATTTTTATTAATTTAACAAATGATGATCCAGTCTGCCTACTGCCTGGATGAGAATTGCCTTAAAACTTGATATTTTCTGTGAGAGCTCACCAGACTTTTTATTAATTGAAAAAAAAAAAAAAAAAAAACTTCTGGAACAGGTTTTCTAGAATTAATGAGCTCACTGAATAATGTGGCATAATGTGACCTTCCACATCCTGTTTTACACCAAGCCAAACGGGACTGTTTGTTGTTGTGAAGGGCTCATTTTTCTCATTTGACCAAAGTTGAAGTCCTAGTTCTTTGTTGCAAACTTAACATGTGAGGTTTGTGATGGCGGGGAGATCATGGAAAGCAGATTTTAGTAGTTTTGCTCCTCTAATCTGGAACAAACTCTCAAAAAACCGTGAAAGCACTGAAACCCAAGTTGCTTTAGATCAAGATTAAAAACCTAGTTGTTTAGAGTGATCTTCTTTTGTAACTAGAGCTGAAACAATTAATCTTGGTTAATCGATTATTGAAATAATCAGCAATTTATTCAGAAATCGATTAATCGTTAACTGGAGTGTAGAGACTCTAAAACATGCCTTTAGCTGACAGAGCGACTCACTTAGAGCAGCAATTATCCTAAAATTGTAAAAAAAAATCTGTAAACATTTTGCATTTAGGATAAAAAAACTTTTCGTCTGTTAATATTCTCTATCCAGCACTCCTCAGGTGGAGAACATTTAGTTTCACCTGGTTAAATAAAAAAAAAAAAAATCATCTTTAAAGAACTTTTAGCTATCTGATTATTAATCAAAAAAATAATAGAAAGATTAATAGATTTGCAAATTAATTGTTTGTCGCAGCCCTAGTGTTCAGTCCAACTTTCCTTTCATTTTCTCATTTTGTTTCTTATACAATCATAAAATAATTGTAGTTATTTATTTTTATTCTATTTAATTATTTTTGTTCATCAACTATTCAATTATCTTCATGTAATGGTAATGTGCTGTTCTTTTTGTCATGTACATCACTTTTAATTGTCTCACTAGTGAAATGTGCTTGATAGAAAACTTGCCTTGCCTTGCCTTAATCCACCCCAATAATTTTGAAACTTATCCATTCCTGCTTTTTCAGTAATGGTGGTAACCGCCATACTCATCTCTGATCGTACAGAGTCCTGAGCAGGACAGAACAAAGTCACAACTGCTACTGAAAA